AATAGTTTTTCTAATTTAAATGGAAATTAACTCTAATAAATCGTAAAATATTATTTAAAGCCAGCCAAAAATTACCGCAAAGATCCAGCAAGAAAGGAAATAAATTTTTATGATTTTTCTGACGTCTGTTCTCTTGATAACAAGCTTGATTAAAATGAATGAATGAAATATTGAAATGAATATTTTGAAATTCTATGACTCTTTAACCTCGAGTTACCTTCAAAGAGACTGCACATAAACATCGGCAACATAGAAGAAGAGAGCAAAACGTGATTTATTTATAATCTGAATAGTAAACAAATCTTCATTTTTTTCACAGAATGATATTTAATTCTACATACGTTCTAAATTTAGAATCTACGTAAGAATATCATCTCTCTAGCTTATTTCACTCATTGAATGCATAATAATGTGTGGAAAAGTAGAAAACAGTCGTATTCATGCAAGTTATGCCGCCTACGGCAAATATCCATCACATAACAGTGTCTTTTTGAAATAATGTTTTAAAAACCTGTTTTTATCATAGTTACGTAGGATTTAAGATGTAAGAATTTTTATAAAAAATGCATTTTACATCGACAATGCACTTCCTTTCATGTCTCTCTTTCGAACATTCTCTTGATTATTTTTTTTATTTATTTTATTTCAAATGAAAGAGAGAAAAAAAATATCAAATTCAATTAAATTTTCATTTCGTGTGGCAGCTGCTGCTATAAAAAAAGGCAATTTCGCAGGTGCTTTAGAGCGAAAATATGTTCTTGTTAAGAATTAAAAATGAATTGATAAGTTGAAGCAGTTGAGGTTTGACGCCGTCCGTCAGAAGTCATTCTCAATGATTATTTAAAGATATGAGACTGAGAAATTGCTTTTTGTGGCTTCTGCGTATCTAGAATCGGATCTAAAGGCTCATGAATAATGCATAGAAAATAATTTTAAATTTCAATCAACTTTTATTTTTCCTTCAAATGGGGTGACTTATCACCCGCTAAATATATTTACTAACGGCACATGCTGTGTAAGGTGGATTTATTAGAGGGCAAAACATATTGATTTTCCTGTCTGCGTCGTCTTATTTATGCTAACAGGATTAGGAAAATTGCAACAAGAAAAAAAGGTTCTAGAATAGCACAAAACAATTGCTGAGTTAATTTTTTTCAATTTCTTTTTTGGGTATCATATTTATTCTTCCATTAAGTTGTAAATGTACAGATTTTATGCAAAACATTTTATCCATAAATGTATCGTATTTCTCTCTGCTTAATGCTCTCCTTCTATAATGTAGAATTTATATTAATGTGGAGGATTCAGAGTTGGGAGATGAGTTTGGGATGAAACTTTAAGATGAGACTTTTTTGAACAATGTCATAGATACAATGCTGATTACCTGGTTTATCAGTTTTGTTTAGTTCTTAACCCTTGAGAGTACCTCGCTATAAGTTTTTCTGAATCCCAAACTGTCTAATCTTATTAGACAAACAGCATGTCTAGCCCGATTTGTTTGTGACCTATACTTATTTATGACAATCTAGAATCCAAGCCTTTGCCCTAAGATCCTCAGTTTTGTGGCTTAAGGATAACTTTAAGGTTTTTCTTAAAAAAGCCTTCTCTTTTTCGATGCTTACGATATATTAACTCCTGTGGCACCAAAAATCACGATATGATTTAAATCAGACTATGTCCAAATGAGACAATCATTTTAAATCCCTCAAAAATTTCTTTAATACAAAAATTCATCACTGAAATTAATAATCCTTCTTGACAACTTAATAAATCACAATATCCTGTCCAACAAAATTCTATCAAAATCTTTTTTGGTGAGCATAAAAACATAATAGTAATAAATTGTTAATCCCTTTTCATAACCGACTCCGGGCTTCACAATACGTGAGAGAATGTGTACCTGAAGATTTAAGAACTGAGTCCATTCCTAGAATTGCTACAAATACATTTCTATTTACATCAAAATTCACTTGTGTAACTTGAGTAAGATGCTTCTGAGCTATTAATCATAGATACATCAGAACTTTAAACCACGCGAGACTTAAAGAACAACACTGAACTGCAAGGATCCTTTTTTATTTATACAGAACTCGAAATGTACTTATGTATATGTATGGAAAAGTCATTTAAAAAGTGAGCACTTGCAGCAGGAATCGAAAGAATTTTTCACTTACTCTCATTCTCACTCGCTGATATAAACAAGAGCTTGCGTATGTACACAAGAGTTTTATATATTAGGGCGAAAAACAAAGAATTTTTATTCATTCAGAGTATTTAAATGTTTGGTAGACGAAAGAAGGGGAAAATAATAATTTTCTATGCATCTGGCTATTTTTAGAGAGCATTTCATGTGAGAGGAGTATGCCATTAATTCGTTATAGTTTTTTTTATAGACACCATAGTGAACTACGTCCTGCATATGACACTTACCTGCAAAGACTGTGTCGGTGAGATTAAATTTTCCATAATATTTTGGAAAATCCTTTAATTTCCTATTTGCTAGAACTAATTCACCGCTTACAGAACACTCATCCAATATTTTTTCAAGAGAACGAGTTAAATTCATCACGTTAGTATTATTAATAACTGATACAGCCATCGAATTGTCGGACTGAATTGATTTTTTTTTCTCTTTTTCTTTTTTATTTATTTTTTTATGTAAAAAAATTACCACTTATACACTTGCTTTATTTTTCATCTGATTATTGCTTTTATTTCTCAACTCAAACATCAATCACGATCTTTAGCATATGCTGATTTTTTGCCATAAAACATTTAAATCATCGGTAATTAAAGATTTTGAGCTTATTATTGTAAAACTGCTAGAAAATTTATTAACACCACCCCAATAAAAAATATTTTTTTTTCTTCTTTTTTTTGCAATTTGAGTCCCAGACTATATTTTTATGCTTCTATACTCGATAAACTCTAACGATGAACTGACACCGCTAAAGAGAGACAGAAAATTGAGAGAGGATTTTTTATGTAGAGTATTTTTCATAGAGACATGCTACACTCATAAAAAAAAATTAACAATGCATTGTTACTTTGTATGAAAATTTTAACAATGTCATGATTAAAATAGCGTTGACCATGAAATTGTTAAATTTAACAATGACCATTGTAAAAATTTTTGTCAACAATGAAATTGTAAAATTTAACAATCATATTGTTAAAAAAAAATTTCGAAGAAAAAATGGTCACCCATCCAAAAAGGAGATAAAATTTTGTTGCTTAACTTCCAATGTCGCCTGTTTTACGTGTTGAAGTATTTCTTAATTTTTGATCTGATTTGAAAGTGACAAAATAATTATTTAAATGAAAAGGTAAATTTTATAAATAGTGAAAATGAATAAGATTTTAATTATACTTTTTGTCAAACATCAATAGAAAGTATTGAAAAATAATTTAATTAACGAAAAGTATTTCAAGTACAACATTTTTTAATAAAAAATCAACTTTTTTAAATTTTTATAGTTCTTAAGTACACAGAAATAAAACTCACTTTTCATACTGAATTTTTATTCAATTAAGATTATTCAAAACTTAAGTAAAATTAAATTATTTAAAATTTAATATTAACGATGACCATTGTAAAATTAACAATCACCATCGTTACGTTACAATCTTATCGTTAATTGATTGTAAAAATAATTTTAACGATGATATTGTTAACTTTTTTTTTCGTCATATAAATTTAACAATGTCATTGTTAAATCTGGTTTACAACGAAATAACAATGAAAAATGTTAATTTTTTTTTATGAGTGTAGGGTTGATGGCTGTGTGAGGAGATGGAGTTTTTGAATTTTTCGAGAGTGTTGATTGTTTGAATTTTATTTTGAACGTTATGAAAAATTATGAAATTTGTATTTTCATTAAGATCGACTTTATTTAAAAAAAAAAAAAATAAATTGTGGTGTGTCATCAGTATTGGATCCAAACATTAAATGATCTGTTCACTCAAAGGGTTTTCTTTAGGTATGGAAACGGGTCCCACGTGTACCCCAACGAAGGAAGTAAGTATACTCTAGGGCAGTGTTGTCCAATATTTTTAAGCCATGTTAAAACTTAGGGGTAAGCCATGACCAAACGCACTCAGTATGCAGCTAGTTTCATTTTCAAAAAAAAATTACGACACACTAGTGTGCGAAGACACACATTTTTGACAACACTGCTCTAGGGTGTAACCAGGGGAGGAATGATTAAGGTTCACTCTAAAGTCCATACTCTAATTATTCAAGAAAAAATTTATTTATTTTGTTGAAATTTTAAAATTAGCAAAAAACTTCCCTCCGCATTGCCCAAAAAATATGACTCTACATAGCACTTGCGGCACACGTTAAGAAGAATGTTTATTTACATTCAGACGCAGCACGTGTATGGCATGATTTTTGGCTTCAAAATATAAACAGCCTTGAATAGATCATCGCTCTCGGAAGAGCTCTTGTTGTTTATAAAAAAAATCATAGAATTTGACTCACTAGAATTTTTTAAAAACAAATTAAGAATCTTAACGGATTTTATCAACAAGAAAAATTGCCGAGTCATGATAAGCTTTCGCAGATATTTTAAAAAAAAAAACAAATTTAATTTATGTTTTTGTTTACAAATAATTTGATGTAATTTTTAAAACTAGTTGCATAAGATTAGGTTCTTTAATGATTCAAAATGAGAATCTCTACAACCGATCCTCAACAACTGGAACCAGCAACTAAATTTGAATGAAAAACTTTATAATAACAAAAATTACTCATCCTCAAGTGACCCACAACGACCCACTTATGTCAAATGCTTGAAAATACACGACAAAAAACTTCCAGCAACCCGAAAATTCACAAGTTTAATTAAGCTATGGCTGAAATACAAGATAATAAAATTTTCAGCCACACATGTCAAGATTTGCATTATCAGCTGAAGAAAATGTTCTGAACGTTCCACTGCCTCGAACCCGAATTTGAAGAAGAAAAGCTATAAAAGCAGACACACATCTTTTTTCGGCTATTAGTCTTTGTTTACTACTCGTGCTGTTCGTTTCGACCAGGAAAAGTGTAATCAATTTGGAGATAAACACAATCACAAATTTATTTTATTGAGCAAGTACAACAAGTAAATTGAGAGGTGAGGAATTGACAATTGCATTGAGCAAAAAATAATTTATCAATCAGGGAACATCAATTGATTGCATAGAGAATAGAATATTAATTTTTTACACGCGCAACAAGTGACTCCGTGATTTTTTAAAAGATTTTTTTGGACTGATCCTCCACCCAGTTCAGTTTGATATCACAGAATTTTTGTATATATTCTTATGGAAATATATTGTGTAAGAGTTTAAGCGCGTGTTCATCACTGACCTACATCAAAAAATATCATCTGTCATAATGTGTAGGAACACATCTATATGCTCATAAAATGTCTATAATTGAAAAACTTTTGTGTCTGTATTACGAATTTTCAATTTAACTTCTCGAAAACTCTAATAAACTTCAATTAAGAATCTCATGCTGATCATTAAGCAACAATTCAAACTTCTAAATCAAAACCGGTCTGTCAAATTTAGCAAAAAGTCTAAAAAATTTATTTTGGAAGTTTATTCACATTGCGACATCAAAGTATTGTTGTTCCACACATCCACAAAAATCAGTTTTATTTTCTTCTTCCATTCCCGTTTTGTTGATAAATATTCAAGCATTTTAAAACCGGCACCGATTCTGTCCAAAAAATTAAATCATTTTAATTGAAATATATTTTTATGTTTTTCTTTTCATGCTGTTTTTGTCACGTACGCACTTGGCCCTTTAACTGGAACATTGTGCATTTTTATTTGAAAAATATTAAAATCAAATTTAGAAAGAATTGAAAAATGTCGTTACCTGACTTTATGACCGATCCTAATGCTGTTCTTAATGACAAAGATCATGAGTGGCGCTACAAGGTGGTTCCCGATTACTCGAAAGCTAATGCTCTTTATGAAGAAGGTAATTATTTGTTTTTTGCTAGTTTTGACAAGTTGTAGCATAATTCGTTCTTATTACATCATATCATACATAGGAAGTGGTCTATTTTAGAATTAAATATTCTTAATTATTTTCCCCTTGAACCTTAAATTTCATTGCCATAAACCTTTAAAATGTCATAACATGAATGAATTATTAAACAAAATTAAATAATTGATGTGGCAATTTTATTTTTTGTTCCTATTTATAGAAAAGACCGTTGAACACGAAGAAGGTTCACTAGAATGGCTTGTATCCAATTTGGTTAAGGTAAATATTGAACTTCCATTCATAATATTCAATGAACATATTTATTTTTAATTATTTCCTTTTAAAAACTAGAATTGGGAGAAGGAAATGTCCCATAAAGTTCGTGCTGATCAAATTAGAACAATCAATAAGGATAAATATCGTTTTTCATGCAATGGAAAGGAATGGAAAAACATCGATCAAATGCTGGAGGTGAGTTGACAAAAACGGAATATTTGTGGATTATATGCTTAAACTTTCAGTGACGATAATCTACAGAAAAATTATTAAAACGCAAAATCTTCATTTCCATATTATTTTTATGCTTTAAGAGTTTCTTAAAAAACAAAAAACAGAAAAGAATATTTCACGTGTGATCACAATAAAACTCTGTCAATAACATTTTTATTCGCAGTACACACACTTGTACAAAGCTCAGGTTTTGATTCTCGATCAATTCCTGACTTGTTTGTAATTTAATTCAAAAACATTTTTAAAATTGATCCTTAAAAGTATTAATTACTTATAAAGTTTATGTTTAAATGAACGATGCTTCAAATTATTCGAGTATCGTGAAACAGGAAAGTGGTATTAGATAGATTTTCATCATGTCTTATTTTTGTACAAACAGTTGGGAACCTACAACGCATTGATTGGCGATAGAGATTCATACAAAGCTAGTGAATTAGATTTCAATGATTCTCATAAGCTCTTCAAGAGAGCTCTTCGTGTATTCTCATGGGAATGTATCAAGGTTTACAGTGGACCACCTGTTGTTGCATTCAAATGGAGGTAAGTTCCTGAAAAGACTTAAATTGGGAATAATTTTAAACAAGACTTCGATCTATCTTTCAGGCACTGGGGACTCAACAATGGAGACGTTACCCTAGAAACCAAGAGCGGCACCAAATACGAATCAGTTGCATCAAACAAAGTTCTTGAACTTTACGGTGTTTCTGTTGCTAAAGTCAATGATAAATTCCAAATTGAGGATCTTGAAGTATTTTATGATCCATCAGATTCCGTTGATCCATTGTTCAAAAAAGCTGGAGGATGTCCAATGAAATAAAATCCTCAATTTTTGAATATGCTTAAAAATGTATTAATCATGTTGAAAACTATTAAAAAATTCTTAATACTCAATTAAAATTAAAAATATTTGTTTAATTTATAGCTATAGACTTATAACATTTCAGTCGCATTTTGGATCATTCCCTGATTAATTCCACGTGTCTTTGATTGTAGTAGTATGACTCAGCACATTCCACTTTATTTATTCTGCTTTGACATCGGCATCTTTCAATATTTTGATTTTACATTGCCCCTCTTTTGGCAACAGACCTACGGTACCAAAATCAAATTCAAGTTCTTTAATACTTAATGCTTTAAAATTGAAATTCTTAAGAAGCATCACAACTGCGACTTTGACAACTAGCAAGCCCATTCGAAATGCAATGCAGTTTCTTGGTCCTGTTCCAAACGGTATGTACATGTCTTCATTGAAGTCAATGCTTGTGAATCGATCAGGATCGTACTTTTCAGCATTTGGGAAGAACTTTTCATCTCTGCTAATACCAAGCAGTGAAATGACGACTGAAGTTCCTTTTTTAATGATAAAATCCATTTCAGGTACTTTGTAGTCTTTAGTACATTCACGATTTAATATTGGCAGTCCTGGGTACTTTCTTAAAGTTTCTTTAACACACAAATCAATGAATTTCATTTCCATGATCGATTCATAATTAATTTCTCCATTGTGCTTCTCTAAAGTCTCTTGAATGTCCATTTTCGCTCGTTCCATTAAATTTTCATTTTGTGTCAGCTCATAAAGTGTATACGCGATTGTTGATGATGAACTTTCAGTACCGGCAATGTAGAAAATGAAAATATTTGCGGCAATTTGTTCGTACGTCATGGATTTTGTTCCTTTTGCTGTAATGAAATTAAGGTTTGATTTAATAGTTTGTTCGAAATGAAGTTTAGCATTATTTATGAGATCTAATCTAATCCAAACATCCGGATTAGACTCGACAAAAGGCTTCAATCTCATTCTTAATGATCATCAAATATATTAAGTCAATAGAACTACAAAAACAAACCTGAAGTCTTAATTTTCCATTCATCCGCTTCTGTAGAACTGTTATTTCTCAATTGGATGAGGTATTGCATCAGATCTTTTCGAACGATATTGTTAGTCTCTCTGTACTGAATTGTTTTTGTGACCATATCAATACAGAACTTCCTCATGAAACCTGGCAGTCCTTTAAGCCTCAATAATTTTATCAAACTGCAAAACAAACATTTTGATGATCTACTGACATAATTAATAGATCGTTGACCTTGTTACTTACGTGGGACAGATGAAAACAGAACTGGCTCTGATAACATTGATGATGCTTTTGTTTGAGTTTAGTTGTTTTGCATTGGTTCTGAATTCGTGATCAGGATTTTCAATACAAGAGATTCCTTCCTGTCCAAATGCAATTAATGCTAAGGAATCAGCAACATAACGTGTGGCAATATCTCGAATTTCAATTTCAGCTTGTTCTTCTGCATGTGACTGCATAAAATCAACCAAATTGGTTCCAATACTTTTAATATTCTCAAACATTCCTTTTAGTTTTCCAGATGTAAATGCTGGAGTTAATCTGGTTCTCAAACTCTTCCATTCTGCACCTTCAAGTGCAAATATGTTTCCAGACATTGCGTCTCGTTTTGGATCAACATAAACACCTCGATCATGAAAATGTTCAAAGTCCGTTGTGAGAACATTCTTGATAAGCACTGGATCTCTTATCAGAATTGCAGGCTTAAAAAACAAGTATATTCCTAAGATTTGATCTCTAGAGTTCTTATAAATGTCATAAATTGCAGTTCCAAATGATCTTTGTTTCTTAACAATTGACTCTAAATTTCCAAACGGAAATTTTGCTTTGAGGTGTGGAATGTCAAAACTATCCCAATGTGTGTATTGCTTTCGTATGAAAGAAACCAGAAAAACAATTAAAATTGTCAACAATACAATCACAATCATTTTTATGGAAGCTTCTTATCGGAATTAAATGTTCAAGTTATTTTTTTTATAAGGGCTCTGACGACTCGACTTGACTGTTTGAAATCACAAAAACAACTGAAACTAATAAAACTCAGAGGGCTTTTATATTCATAGAAGCTATGCATCAAATTTCATTTTCATGATCGATTCATAAATGATCTTTGCATTGTAGGTTGTCTATAAAGTTTCTAAAATTACTTTTCATTTTTTGCTAGTTTCTTATTTTTTTGTCGAATCATTGTTGATAAACGTTCAGTTCTGACAATTTACAAAATTAAAATATTTAAGGCATTTTTTTTCTTATGCTAGGTCATGGATTGGATGCATTGTTTAATTGCTTTTAATTATGAAAATTGTTTCCTGTCTTAAATATCAATTTTTGCTGTATTTTTATTTAAACCGTGTTTTGCAAGATGTACTATTTTGGTCTTTTTGTGTAGCTTCACTTCCACTTTATTAGCTTTTACTTTATCACATACCATAATAATTCATGTTGATTACATGGTTGTCAGATGTTTTGATTTCACTGTACACATATTGTTTGATCAAAGGTCTCAGTTGCTTATCCAGAGCTCCTCGTCCTTTCCTTCTCTTTTGCTGCTCGAGCGACACAAGGTAGAGGAAAAACTGTCTTTGGAATCCATTTAGATGTTGCCTCTACTAGTTGGCTTCCATTTGCATTCCATATTTAAACCGTTTTTAATTTAATTGCCAAAAATTTTATGTACTTTTTGGAACTGAATTATTAGCGCATTCTAAAAACTGCTCCATGGTAGGACATAATACTCACCATCCCCAATCTCAGAAATTCTTAGCCTGATATAAAATTCAAAGACTTAACTATCAATATTATTGCAAAAACATACGTGATATTTCATCAGAAATCTTTAAAAATAGAATAGAAAATAACAAAATAACTTTAATTGTTACACAATACAACAATGTGCGATGACATCATAAAATTAAAACTTAAGTCTATAATTAGTGCTTATGTTAATAATTAAATGTGGAAAAAAACAGCCATAGACCAAATGATCATGAAAATTGTTATTCCAAGCATTGTGAAGAAGCAGATAGCACGAGCAGGTTGACGAATCGGATATCTGTAGAGAATAGATTGTCAATATTAAATAATCTATTAATAATTCAATATTTTTTGTGTACATACATGGCATAGACAACTGTGTAGAAGATTCTTGAGAGCACAGCGATTCTGATAAGCCATGAAGCAACAGTTGGATCAGGTTCCGTTATAATATACCTAAAAATCAAAATATATTTATTGCTAATCTAGTCTATAAAATTTTTGCAAGTCATTATCTCACATTAATGCTGCTAACAAAAATGCGGGAACGTTTTCAAGGTCATTTAAATGAGCACGCCTGATACGCTCAACATCTTCGTCTTTTTTGATCTCAAAACTTGGATTTTGTGCTACATCTTCTGGATTTTCAACAGCACCTTTTCTTATGCGATTGAAAATTGTCAAAAATGACATGATTAACATTTTAATAATAAGAAGTCCGCCCCATGTGATATAAACACGTAGAGCTTCATTATTGTAGCTGAAAACTGTCATGATTTCACTTCCTATTTACCGAAAAGAAACTTTAACTCTTAACTCTTTAATATCTGCTTTAAGACTAAAATGTTTTTCTTCTCTTCTCTTCTGTTATGTGAAATCAAGATATTTCGGACGGGTCTTTAATGTATTTTTAATAGTATTGGGATTATTCAGGTAGTGTGAGTATGGACACTTGTTACCAAAAGATTCGCATTTTTTGGTCGCACGTGTTGCTGGTGGTGTTGGAAACAGAGTTGTTGTGATTGAGCATCTGTGGAATTTACAAATATATCTTCAAACCTGACAACTTAAACTAGAAATCTTCACAATCTTATAATTTGGACTAATTGTTTTCATGCTTAAATATTGATCTTTATTTATTGATCTACAAAATGTTGTTGCTTACACATTTTCAATTTTCTTCTTCCTTCATAATCTTAATCTTACATGTTCCCTCTTTTGGAAGCAAAACAACAGATCCATAATCAAATTCTAATTCATCATGACAAACAGCTTCACTATGGGGCAAAATGAAAAAAAAAGGGACTTTCACTTTGAAAAATGGACTTTTCCGATTTACACTTTTTGGGTGATTTTTTCTTGTAGAGGACATAAAAGTAGATAGAAATGCCAAATTTCAGGTCATTTGGTGCTGATTTCGCGATTCTAGAGCTGTTTGAAGTTGAAAACTAGTGAAAATTCTGGTTTTTTCATACCATGTTTGAACCGGGAAATATCTTAACTGGTTTAAGATATTGCAAAACGGTTTTCAGTTCCTATTAGTAGTATATAAGAGCTTTATTTTGACATATAACAAAGTTTAGGTTCTGAATGTTTTCGTGCCATTATGGTAGAACATATGTGAAAATTTCAGGAAAATTATCTTCAAACAAGCCGCAACTATCATAAATGAAGAGTTTCCAGGCAAGTAAAAACGCAGTTTTGTAGCCCCATATATCTAGTTTTCAAAACTGTATAAACTTTGAAAAAGTAAGCTAACGTAATTGAGTTATGTTGATTTTAGTAGGTCGTTGAGTATTTGGCCAAAAACTAATAATTCTTTTAAAAATACGAAAACATAGTTTTAAAAATAGTTTTTTGTAGGGGTTCCAGAATTCCCGTTCCCGTAAGATTTCGGGAATCGGGAACGGGAACGGGAATGATGTCCGGGAACGGGAATATTCCCGGGAATCAACAAAGAAAAAAAAAAGTTTAAAGCTACACTTACACCATGTATTTTATTTAGGTTTTTAAATCAAATTTAAATTCTATTTCATTTGATTGTCAAATTGATTCTGTTGACAATAATTTCCGTTTAAAATTCAATACTTTTTGGTTTTAGAACAAATCTTAAAGTACGATTTTAAAAAACTGATTGCATTAACGTGCTAGTCTAGCAATCTAGTGCGATATATTATTGGAGATTGAAAAGTTACGTTCAGCTCTTGTAGATGTTGGTGGAATTGATAAAATATAATCTGATAGATTCAAAAGGCATGGTGATTTATGCTGAAACTTGTCGTAATAATCAAAATCTTTACGAATCGTGTCAAATTTATCATTTGTAAGCTTTGAAATTGTAGGTGATGCCATTAATTCTTCAAAATTCAATTTCAGTCGTTCAAATTATTTTAATCCGATGAATATTTTTAAATACTTTTTCTCTTCGTTTTTCATAAATATATGTTTTTGATTTAAAACACATCAAATTTGAGTTTAATATTTCTTCTTTAAATTGTAGTTTTTTCATTAAACATACAAAATAAAAAAAAAAAAATCTAATTTGAATTGTCGGTTTTTTTTTGTATGAAAACGGGAATTTCGGGAATATTCCCGACAGATTTTCGGGAAACGGGAACGGGAACGGGATTCCCGTTCCCGGGAATTCCCGGGAATATTCCCGATTTTAGAACCCCTAGTTTTTTGGTGTTTTCTTATGAAAAATAACAATTTAAATGATTTTGTGAAGAAAATTTTTCAAAAACTTCAAAATCTTTCGAGATATAGGGGGTATGTGCTCTCCATCGATTTGGCCATTTGTCACCCTACTTAAACCACTATAACTTTTTTTTGAAAAAATATTTTTTAATTCTGTTTTCGGATTATTGTAGCCTAATGTAATACCTATCCAACGATATATAATACTTGCTAGTTAACTTAGTCCTGGTTATTTATAGGGCTGTTGATTGTGACATACGCAGTTTTTGAAAAATTCCCAAAAATTGCATTTTCAAAAATACCACTTTTAAGCAATCTCGAGTATTTTTTGGACTTTTTTAAGAAATGTTAAGTCTGAAAAAAGCTATTATCATTAGAGTAATAAAAAAAATACTCTGATACGCAACTATAATAGGTAAAATTAATAAAGTTTAATTTTTAGTTTAATGAAATTTTGTTTATTTGTCAAGAAATTTAATTTACATTTTTTTATCATATTTAATGAAATTTATTTATTCATTCGTTGTTTGCTTCTTCAGAATATTCATGGTCTTGTCCTTCGGAATAATCATAGTTTTCTGCTTGGGAAAAGTCATAACCTTCTCCTTCTGGCTCAATCAATTCAATTTCTTCCTCATCTTCTTCCTCATTTTCTGTTTGTTGCTCAGGTGTTTCACCTTCTTCTTGGACATTTTTTCTCATTAACCTTTTATTTATTACATCCATATATTTTTTTATTATTACTGGATCAGAACTGTAGAGTCTTCTATGTATAACATCCGTAAAACTGTGTATTCTTGAAGTTTTTCTGGCACGTAGTTCTCTATCTTGTCTGAGATATTTGTTTTGTGACTCCCCGGCTTCTTCACTCATTCTTCCTAGAGGTAATGGTAAGGCTTCCATGTAGTGTTTTGCATGAGCAAGTGCTCTGTGAAGTGTTACTGGTATTTTGAACCAACTATATGTTGTCAAAAACATTCTGTATGTTTCTTTACAGTACCTATCAAATTCATCTAGATCATCAACTGGTTCTAAACTTCGAATTTGGTTTAGCACATAGCATATACGTTTAATTATTTCTTCATTAAGATATAGAGTTTTAGCTAGAAGCTCTGGATTTTCAAGAACTTTTCTTGCAACGTTTCCTGTATCTGATGATCCAGCTCCCCCTTGTCTTGGTTCGAGTACACGAACATTAAATGCATCCCACATTGCTTGCTTTATTCTAGCCTTTTCAACATCTAAAACAATCTGTTCCTCTTCAGTTATCTCCAGCCAGTGTTTTTGAACATATTGTTTATATGACAAATCATATAGAGTCGTGAGTACGTTCATTGATGTATGAAGTGGCTGAGTGTTGAAATACAAGTGTTCTTTAACAAATTTTCTGTGTGTTTTTTCGAATCTTCCATTATCAAGATTATTTATGTCACTCATCTCGTTTGGTCCAGATCTACAAAGCTGACATCTGCAATATCCTGATGTTTCTGTAAGGTCTGTGTAAACTTTTCCATCTAACATTGTGGGGTAGAATTTGTACGTAATTTCCAAAAGCATGTCTTCACATATGAATCTCTGTGGTTCAAGTTTTGATATTTGATTTTTTATATCTTCATATATCCTTCTAACATTTACTCTGGTTTCTTTGGCATGTTCAAGTTGTATTGGTCGTACTGAGTATACAGATTGACTGTTTTCGTTGTCCCATAAGCAGATATAATTTCCGTTTTCGTCTTCATGTCGTAGTTGCTGAACACTCATACTAACTGTCAATAGTGATTTGTCTTCTATAATTTCATTATTAGTCGTTTGATTCGGTTGTGTTCTATCTCCTTCTTGATTTCTTGAATTTGTTTTTCCTTGGTTATACTGTGACTGTCCTGTTGTTCCGTCCATCCCCCATGTGACGATCATTTCTGCATGAATAACTTTTGGAGTTGATTCTGAAGGTAATATTTTGATTTTGTCGTATATTTCTGAATTGTGTGCTTCAATAACTCTTTTTGTGGTGAGTTGTGTCAAATTTTTTAGTGGAATAACGGCTCTTGTATCGGTGACCGTTATGTCATCAGGATAGCATTGTTTCTCTAACCTCAACAATTTTTTAGCTGTCGGTAAAACGTTTTCGCATTCCAGTTTCAGGACTTGTCGAATATTGTTGTACTGATTTCGAGATAAATTGTTAAAGGCTTTTAAACCTAGAGCTACATGTATATCTAGTTGTTTAGGTTTTGATGTAGTTTTTTCTGGAAGATCCTCTCCTTTTTGGCACGCCTTAATAAATTTTTTTAACATTTTAGCTCCTTCTACTTTTCCTTCTTCTTTAGAAAGGCGAAGTGCCAAGTGAAGAACTGATAACAATGATCCTTTTGCTTCTTTTAAACTGATATCTAATTCGTCCACTCTTCTACGTCGATGCTTATCGCTTGTTAGTTGTTCAAATGATTTCCTCTTGATGCCCTTGCTGGATGAAGGCTCTATGTCATGGACGATGTATTCAATCTCATCCATATCTTCATCTGTGTCAGTAACATTTTCTGCTTCATATATAGATTCTTCCTCAAAAAGAATCCCTCCACTAGATTCGCTGAAGTATCGTGAGTCAACTTCAAATTCCTCTTCATAGAAATCTGCATGATCTCTTAATGCATTATTCCAATTTGACTGATTACAAAACATTTTTGACTTTGACTTCAGCTTGTTTAATTTATTAATTAAACTAGGTTTCTGTGATTCCGCTAATTCTCTCCCATGAATTTCTTCTATTACTGCCAAACAGTACGTGTGCTGTGTTGCAAGATTTAACGTTTTGTCGCGAAGAATTTCACAGAGTGTTTTCTTCGTAAGTGTTGAATTTTGGTTCATTTTTGAAAGTGACTTGTTCAATGAAGTTCAAAACTGATATGATGTGTAGAGAGAATTTCACGAGTATATATATAAAATAGTTTCAAAACTGAGATTTTCACACCTGATAGTGACTACCAAGGGTACTTTACAAAGTTGTTAACTAGGGAAGTAAAAAGTTTCTAAATTTAATTTTTTGGCTTTATAATCTCATAAATGTCATAAATAAACATAAAAAAGTTCTAAAAAAATACTCGAGATTGCTTAAAAGTGGTATTTTTGAAAATGCAATTTTTGGGAATTTTTCAAAAACTGCGTATGTCACAATCAACAGCCCTATAAATAACCAGGACTAAGTTAACTAGCAAGTATTATATATCGTTGGATAGGTATTACATTAGGCTACAATAATCCGAAAACAGAATTAAAAAATATTTTTTCAAAAAAAAGTTATAGTGGTTTAAGTAGGGTGACAAATGGCCAAATCGATGGAGAGCACATACCCCCTATATCTCGAAAGATTTTGAAGTTTTTGAAAAATTTTCTTCACAAAATCATTTAAATTGTTATTTTTCATAAGAAAACACCAAAAAACTATTTTTAAAACTATGTTTTCGTATTTTTAAAAGAATTATTAGTTTTTGGCCAAATACTCAACGACCTACTAAAATCAACATAACTCAATTACGTTAGCTTACTTTTTCAAAGTTTATACAGTTTTGAAAACTAGATATATGGGGCTACAAAACTGCGTTTTTACTTGCCTGGAAACTCTTCATTTATGATAGTTGCGGCTTGTTTGAAGATAATTTTCCTGAAATTTTCACATATGTTCTACCATAATGGCACGAAAACATTCAGAACCTAAACTTTGTTATATGTCAAAATAAAGCTCTTATATACTACTAATAGGAACTGAAAACCGTTTTGCAATATCTTAAACCAGTTAAGATATTTCCCGGTTCAAACATGGTATGAAAAAACCAGAATTTTCACTAGTTTTCAACTTCAAACAGCTCTAGAATCGCGAAATCAGCACCAAATGACCTGAAATTTGGCATTTCTATCTACTTTTATGTCCTCTACAAGAAAAAATCACCCAAAAAGTGTAAATCGGAAAAGTCCATTTTTCAAAGTGAAAGTCCCTTTTTTTTTCATTTTGCCCCATAGTGAGCTTCAAACTTGAATTTCTTCAGCAACATGACAACTGCAACTTTTACCATAATCAATCCCATACGATATGCAAGACAGTTGCGAGGTCCGATCCCAAATGGCATGAACATATCAGCATCATAATCCATTCGATCACTTGAGAAACGATCGGGATCGAAACTTTCAGCATTTGGGAAGATTTCTTCGTCTCGACTGATTCCAAGAATTGAAATGACAACTGCAGTTCCTTTCTTAATGACAAAGTCCATATCTGGTACTTTATAATCTTTTGTGCATTCACGATTCATAATTGGCAGTGCTGGATACTTTCTCAAAATTTCCTTGACGCACAAATCGATGAATTGCATGTCCTTAATTGATTCATAAGTAATTTCTCCATTGTGCTTAGCTAAAGTATCTTGGACATCAGTTTTGGCTCGTTTCATTAATTCCTGATTTCGTGCCAATTCATAAAGCATATATGCAATTGTAGATGATGAACTTTCAGCACCAGCGATGTAAAAAATGTAAATGTTTGCAGCAATTTCTTCGTAGCTCAATGATTTGCTTCCTTTGGCTGTACAATGATGAAGAGAGTTAAAGAAATTAGGATCGTTAGTCAGTGAACAATTTTTTTTGGTACAAACCTGAAGATTTGATTTTCCAATCATCAATTTGCGAAGTGCTGTTGTTCCTTAGTTGAATGAGGTACTGCATTAAATCCTTTCGAACAACGTTGTTGGTTTCTCTGTATTGAATTGTTTTTGTGACCATATCAAGGCAAAACTTCTCCATGAAAGGAGGCAATCCTTTGATTTTCAGTATCTTCAGAAGTCTAAGAAAGAAAAAAATCAGTTATCAAATATCTGAAAGATTGATAAGTGATCACAACTTACCCTGGGCAAATAAAAATTGAAATTCTTCTGACCATATCAAGTAAGTTTTTGTCTTCATTGTATCTTTTTGCATTTACCAAAAATTCATGCTCAGGATTATCAATACTGGAGATACCTTCCTGTCCAAATGCAATCATTGCCAAGCAGTCAGTCACGTATCGAATTGAAATATCTCTAATTTCAATTATAGCTTGTTCATTTGCTTTAGACTCCATAAAGTTGATTAAATTGTTTCCAATACCTTTGATGTTTTCAAACATTCCCTTCAACTTTCCGGACGTAAATGCTGGTGTCAATCTTGTCCTCAAGTTCTTCCATTCCTCGCCTTCAAGGGAAAATAAATTTGCTGACATTGGATCTCGATTAGCATCGACATAAATTCCACGATCATGAAAATTCGCAAAATCAGTAGCAAGAACACTTTTAATCAGCACTGGATCTCTGATAAGTAATGCTGGCTTAAAGAACATATAAAATCCTAAAATTCGTTCCTTTGAACCATTGTAAATGTCGTAGATAGCAGTTCCAAAAGATCTTTGCTGTTTTGTAACCAATTCTAGATTTCCAAAAGGAAATTTTGCTTTTAAATGTGGAATATCGAATTGATTCCAATATGTATACTGCTTAGTAACAAAGGAGACTAAGAACACGATAAGAACTGTCAATAATATTAACACAATCATTATAATTAAGTTTGCTGTTACTTAAAAATGCAACTTTAATGTCTATGAATAAATTTACAAAAAATCAAGTTTAACTTGAATTATTAAAAAGCTTGAATTAAAATACTTCCTTCTCTTTGAAGAAACAAAACGATTCTAATAAGCTTAGCACTTGGTTACATGTGTTTATAAATAAAATCTTCAAAAACTTTATTTGACCTTTGGTAATCTCAAGCTTTGACAGAATTATCAACAAACATCAAGATGATTGCTCATATTCAGCCCCTTAAAGCATGTTGCTACAAAAACGTTAAACAAGCAATTCAAACTAATGTTCTATACATGAAATTCAAAAAACTACTAGCAACATATTTTTAACGGTTTCAAAAAATTCAACATTAAAGTAATCATTGTTGTTGTAGTTGAATTTTTTACTTCAGTGTTCTTTACGATATTTATTAATTTAATTCGTGAATTTAAATAATTGTGAATGTTTGTCAATATTTAAGTGGACGAGACTTTATTTTCTGTTAGATGTGAATGAATGAAAAGTGATACAAGGTTTGTAAATGGTTTAAATTAGTTTAAAATCGGTTGTGTTTACTAAAATAAAAATTCCTGAGCTCATCCAGTGATGTGTAATGAATGAAAAAAAAAAAAATTTCAAGTCTAAAAGATCATCTATTTTGTCTCTATAAATAGAGCTGAGAAGAAAGTGAAAAATTTGAATAACATAAGAGTTAAATTTAAATTTGAAAAAGTGCATAAGATCTTATTAGAATGTTTATAATCAGTTTGATGAGTTCAGGAAGAGGTAAATGAACAGCCAACATAAACAAAAATCTATGAAAAAAAATGATCTACGTCATCTAACATGCTGAATAAAGTGATCAATGAAAGTTCATTGTTTTTTCCATAAATTCCGTTGTATTTTTAACAGAATTCGCGAAGCATAAAAGAGAAAAAAATTTACAGTGAAGAAGTTAAGTGCACAGGCAGTGGTTTGTGTACATACCAAAAAAAAAAAAAAAAAATTAAGAAAGAAGCTATAAAATCCAAGAATATTCCAGTGTTATTATTAATTAAGTGAAATTATAATGAGTGAGTCAACGAACGAGATTCCCGAGCATGTGATATCACAGCTTCCAAAGCCGAGTGGAATCAAACCACCATCGTCAATTTTCTCAATACCAAAAGTCTCACGAATATGTTCAAATCATGATAAAAAGCCAGATTTACCGGTCGCGGCAACACCAAATAAGAGTGAGTACAAATTTATCATTTTTAAGGTAGCTCAATGGATCCAATTTAAAGACATTATCGAGCATGTCATCTTGAATTTAAAATAATTAACACGAAATACACAAATTAATCCTCCTACATGAGTTTGGGTCCATTTGAGCATGAATTTGAATTTTATCTTATTGAATATTATGAGGATATCCAAATAGTGAACATAAAAATACAATATAAAGTGATAAGTATAAGATTCGTCTATTGTATTTTATGCAAAATTTACGAGCCAAACGCAATTACCTAAAATACCGATTTAAATCCACCCACAAACTTCATAAAAGACATTCGCTTTGTTTATTTACAAAACGCAATAAAGATCGTGAGCAATGAAGCTTATTTTTTTTTTTCATTAGCCGGTCTCCTTTGTTATTGTTTCCATCATCCTCAATACTCCTTCAGTCTGAGTATATCCATCAAGTGAACATCGTTGCATCATTCATTAACAAAATAAAAAAGTTTTATGTCTTTTTTTTTGTTTATTATTTAATTGCGATTGCCATAAAGAAAAATTTGTGTGTCTGTCCAAAATGAAATGTTTGAAAAAGGAAATGAAATTATTGAGAATGAATGAAAAACAATGCAAACTTTACGCGCGCTACGTTAAAAACATTGGAATTGAACATTCAACATTCGTGGTCGATGTTTTAAGTCACGAAAAAAATTAATCAACAGCATTACTCAATTTTACTTTGTTTTGCTCGTTTCATTTAGTTTTACTTTAGACTCGAACATAGCCAGTCACCTAAAATTTAAGAATCTCGTTAAAGAAAAAAAGAAAATTCAGTCAAAAAATACATTTTTGGAACGAACAAAAAAAAAATCTACGAAAAATAATTAAAAATTCCAAAATAAAATTAATTAGGTGAGCTTTCTTGATATTCCAAGAACGTTGGAATGTGAGAATGATGCTGAATGGATGTGTGCGTGCGTTAATTAAATCTCACGAAGTTTATTAAATTTTCCTTTTTTGAAATATTAAAACATTTTGATACGTAGTCATTACAGTTTTTTATGAAATAGTAAATTGAGTGTAGTGTACATACTGTATATTTAAAAAATTAGAACATGCTTCTGGCTGTTTGAATATTCAAATTTATTTGCCATGTTAACATAAGATTTTTAAATATATGATTAAATTGTAATTTAGCGTGGCTAGTAGTATTGCTGCTGATTTTGATAAATATTTGTGCTAAAAACCACCTGTTGATTCATCAATGGGGATAGATTTCTCATGAAACATGCTACTTACTATGTTGCTGTAACTGATATACTTTTTTAGTTTCTATGGTGATTGATTGGGATTTTAGTGTAGGTTGAATCGTTGACTTAATTATGGGGTTCATTACTAATGATATATATCTAAGGGAAGGGTTTGTTAAGAGAGATCTATGATAAATTAGTGTTCAAATCTGAAGTTAAATGTTAATGATCCTTAACGTTTTAAGTATGCTTTCTCGTTATCGGGATCAGGATTTCGAGGAAGCATAGTTCTAAGTGCACACTCCGAACTACCATATTTAATGCGCAGATCTAAATTGTTATCATTTGATACACTGAATTGGAGAAGCTAAAGCTTAAATTATTGTTGCCTTAACTTACTACATTAATAATGATAGATGACTTTGTTATTTTGTTGTAAAAAGTGTAAACAGGTGTAAACTTGTTGAATCTCAAGTATGGAATTGAGCAATATCTGAAAACTAGACAAAGATAAGGACAAGATAAGAAAAAGACAATTAAAACTGAATTTTTTTGGATTATTTTTTTAAAACTTAGTTTAAAAGTTGTCCATTTCTTGCAAAAATTCTTTAATCTTTGTTTTCATTTTTGTTTTGAATACCAATTTCTAATCGGTTTATAATTAGATTTTTTTTTTATAATTATGCAAATTTTTTACTTTCTATAAAGTCATCCAAAAAAAAATAAACTTTTTCTTTTAATCGAAATTAGCTAATGTAATAATTATTCTGTAAGCTATACTGAAGAGAAAAAATACTGTAGGTGGCTTTAAATTAGCGAAAATCAGAAGTGATCCAATGAGAGATTTGGATCAATATTTTTTTGATAATCAATTAGTTCCGAAAATAAATAACTTGCTGTTTTGAATCTAAAATTATTTATTTAATTCCTTAATTAAGATTAAATTAAGATATTGTGAAGATAGTGACCGCAAATTGTAGTTTGTTGTGGTTTATTAAAAAAAGTTTACAGCTATATTGTTTTTATTGTTTCAAAGCTCAAACTCACTTCACAAGAAATTAATTTTTTCAACCTTTTAAAAAGTTCAAATTAAAGTTAAAAGTATGCAAAGTTTCCCACCAGATTTAAATAATTTCTTATTTGCATGCAAAATATCGGCATTGTAGCCGGATTTTCGCCGCAAAAAAGTGAAGTAGTAAGTGAGAAATTTCCTATCGTGATGCTATAAAATGCACCTTACTGTTTAGATAAATCGCGCACTTAAAAAGCGAATAGCAAACAACAGAAGAGCAAACTATATGCTTAACAGCTTATCCAATCGATTACAAATATTTTCATTTGCAAAACAATTTTCAAATGTTCCGGAAAGAGATTTTTTATTCGATTTCAATATTTAATTATTGTCTGTGTTGCATTATGCGTTTTTTTATATACTCGAGTATATCCAAACATGTTGATTTTCAATTTCCTGATGGTTTTCTCTCGCAGCATGAAATTTTTAATTCCAAAATAGAGATTCGAAAAATTGAATTACATATAAAGACTAAATCAAGCGATAAAAAGTCAATGAATTCTGCAGCAGCACGAAAAGTGGGGCAATGTGACAACGTCGATCGCGAAAAAAAAAGAAAAACTTTCTCATTATAATCTCGATACGAAAATGGCATAAAAAAGTTGTAATTTTTTGGTATTTCGGAAATGTCACTAGAAAGACGTCGCCTTTTATTTTTTTTTGAATAACAATTTTGCATGCGATTTATAAAATAAAATTAATTTTGTTAACATCTAGGTGATAATTTTTCGATTTTGCTACCATTTTATGCAAGAATGAAAGAGTCTGGTCATTATATATTCAGTAATGACAGTTTTTCGATGATCTCATGAATTTTTAATGAGAAATTTTTTTATTATTTTTTTGCTACATTTCTTTCTGTTTTCACCTTTATTGAGGGTACGATAATTAGCTTGTTATTAGTGTTATTTGATGTGATTTGATTTGATATTTAAGGTTTTGCATTTTGTGATCAGTTTGTCTAGATTAACTTGGGTGAATTTCTTCAAACCCCCCGCAAGCGCATAATGATCAAAATAGGCTCCTTAAGTCTCATTAATATTTTCAAAACAGATTAAGTCTAAACCGGTGTTGTCCAAACTGTGTGCCGTAGGACATCTTTAGGTGTGTCATGAAAAAATATCTAAAGTCATAGTGTATCGTGGCTGAAAAAAGTTTGGATAACACTGGTCTAAACTCGTATTCTAGAATGTCATGTTAAGCAAACGGTTTATAATAGTTTTACTTTTGTAAAGTTCTTTAAAAATTTGCCTCTTCTAATCCCAAGCTAATCCATACCTTCAAGTAAACCTATATTACAACTAGGTTATGCCAAGTTTTCTTCTTAACTATCAATCTCCAATCTACAACAATCCAAAAAATGCGCAATAATTGCTAATTTCACACTCAAACTTACCATAAATACCAATATCTTCCATATTCAATTAATTCCTTATTTACCATTCACGCACTATTCAATAATGACACAAAAAGCAACAGTCAATTAATTTACACATAAGATACGACGAGAAACATTTAGTATCAATTTTAAATTGATTTTTTATTGTAAAATGATCTTGAAAGTTGTTTCTATATAAAAACGTGCTATGCACATTATAATTGCACTAATAAGCTAATTAAGCTCGAATAAATTTCACATTCATTATTTTTAGTACAAAAGTGTGTGGGTCGCATAAAAGCTGAAATAAGGTCCACAAAAGACGTGAGATGAGATTAAGGAAAATGAGGAATTTTCTTCGGAGAATAATAAAAGTATTATTAAGTTTTATTAGATAGAATAATGGAAGTTCCATTTTCGGACATGTGAAAAATTGATTCTTTTAATTTTTTGGCATGGAAGAAATTTGTCAATTGGAAAGAACTTTTTAAGAAAAGAAAAGAAAAATAAATATGAAATTTTATTTGCTTTAAGAGCACAGATGAGACAATAAGGCGACCGAGTTTTTTGGGAACTGAACGATTTGTGGATTTAGATGCTGGATTGTGGGGGTCTTTTGTGATTTCATTAGAGTTTGGGTTACACTTTAAGGGTCAATGGTCGTTCTGCTTTTGATGTCTATTTTTGAATTTAATTTACTATTGAGGTTCTGAATTTTTCAAACTTATAAATTAAGATTTAAATAATTTTGAAAGCTTTTTTGAGAAATTAAATTTTGATTCAAATTGAATAAACAACTTTTCGATTCTAAAGTTAGATTTAGTATACAACTAGCACAGAAACTCTTAAAATTTTAACAAGTTTCTCATCCTCTTCTTGGAATATCCCAGAAAATTCCCAAATTTAACTTTATCAATTCAATTAAGTTATTTTCATCCAGACTAAACACTGAAATCAATACATCAACACTGCTCGTGACTTATTTGTTCTCCGCACTTCTGTTTTAAAAAAATTCATTCAATTTTTTGAATTTCAATTTCAATTCATTCATTTTTGCTTGTATATAATTTAAAGTGTTGTTGGAAATGATGAAAATTGATTATAAACAAGCGCTAGTTTTTGTCTTAAATATCTTATTCTCATTCTCGGTCGTATCATGTTCAAAAGATTGTAAAAACAAATCTTTTATTTCGTGAAAGACACAGAAGAAGAATATTTGCATAAAAAGATGTTCAAGTCATCATCATTAAACAGCGCGCTATAGCTCACAAGACACCTACACTGAATAATCATTAACATCACTTGATTCTAACTCTA